GAAAGGGACTATAGTCAAATAGTTCACAAACTAAAACAAAACTTTGAAATGAAAGAGCTAGGAAACATCAGTCACTATCTGGGAATTCAAATAGAGAGAGAAGAAGATGGAAGATATCTTCTCAACCAAAGTCAGAAACATGCAAGATGCAAAGGAAGTAAAAATACTTATGGAACCTGGCTAAAAAAAGAGCAATGAAGCAGAAAACTTGCTACCCAACAATGACATGTACCGCAGAACAATCGGAAAGCTACTATACATTGCTACTGAGACAAGACCAGACAGAACGGCAGCAGTGGCATACTTGCTAGAAAAGTCGCAGCACCCTGTCAGAGTGACTGGAGCGCAGTAAAGAGGGCAATACAATACTTCAAAGGAACTATTCAGATGAAGCTACCACTGTCAGCAGTGTGAAATCCAAAACTAGTTAGATATGCGGATGCTGATTGGGCCGGAGACTGCACAGACCGCAAATCCACAGGTGGTTACATTTTCCAATATGGGGAAGGAACCATAAGTTGATCTAGCCAAAAGCAAACAACTGTTGCTGAATACATAGCAGCAGCACATGCTTGTCAAGAAGCAATATGGATTCGCTAGCTTTTAATGGACATCGGCGTAGACATGTCAGACTCAATCCCAATCTTTGAAGATAACCAGGTATGTATAAAGCTGACACAATCAGAAAGGGTCAACCCTAGAACCAAGCACATTGACGTGAAGTTTTATCTGCTAACGGACACTCAAGAACAAGACATTATCGACATACAATATTGCTCAAGAGAAGAAAGCCATTGCCAAAGGATTGTCACAGTTTTCTTCGAGAGAACGCATATGCTGTTGAGAAGGGGTGTTGGAGATGCAACAGCATACTTATTGTGTTGCTGACAGTGCTATGTTTTTTGAGCACTAGATGGTGCTGTGGTGCAAAGCTATTCTGCATGTTAGTTTTCTATTTATACTGTATGTTTCCTTTTTGATGCTGTATTCCTGTATACAGATGTAATGATGTTCTTATAAGCAAGTAAAACTTAATTTGGCATTCCTCAAGATCTCAGTGCTTCATCTAAATACATAACCAACAATATGAAGATTATTGTTTGTGTTTCTTGCTGTTCTGTGAAAACCTGTAGGACTAGCTGTCCTCTGTACTTGTCTCCAGCAGCCATTTTGGGGAAGCCTCGTGTTCTGATAGGACACAAATTCTCTCAGGATTTTGTAGGCCATTTTATGTTGGCTATGATATATAAACAGAGCCTAGCCACCATTTTGGGCAGTATATTTGTGGAAACAGAGAGGGACAGATGCCCAGCTTGTGAAGGGAAGCTAGGCCTTACACAGGGAGAGTGTTCCAGTGGACCCATGATGAGTGGGTCCAAAATCAATGGCACCGCCTAGCTCAAGCCAAACAAATGGTGCTGGGGAAGCATCAGGATTTAGCCGAGGGAAAGTACTGTTAAATTGTTGCCACTGAAACTAGAAGACAGGGTCTTGGTTTACAACCCCAAACACATTAGGGAAAACAAGCTGGAGCCCAAATGGGAGACCTAGCCATATTGGGTGAAACAGCAACCATTTCCTGGACGGCCTGTGTATGATGTTGTTTCAGAAAAGTCAGATGGGGCTTGCAAGAGACTGCACCGTAACCTTCTTTGCAGTCTTCACTGCTGATTTGCTATTAGCTAATCCCGTTCCTGTCTTTCCTTTATCAGCCAGATGGGACAGCAGCCATGAGATCTTCAACAGTGATTCTGCAGAGTGCTATCTGTCCCCTCTGCCACCAGTAGAGAACGTATCCCCAGCTGACAGGGCTACAGAGAACCAGGCTTCTGCTACTGGATGGGACCTGCCTGGAGGGGATCCTGATATGCCAGCTTCTTCCACTCCTGTTAAAAATGAGCCTCTTGTGTATGAAGTATCACCTGTTGATCCTGTTGTGGAAGAGGAACTGTGCCCGGTTTCCTCTGATGGAGATGGACAGTTGCAAGATCTGGAGACTCGCTTACTCAGGCGCAATACCAGGGGACTGAAACCTGTGAAGTATTCTACATATATTACTTGCTACAATGTAAAGTAGTGAGTGTACAGCTTGTATATCAGTGTACATTTGCTGTCCCCTCAAAATAACTCAACACACAGCCATTAATGTCTAAACTGTTGGCAACAAAAGGGAGTACACCCCTAAGTGAAAATATTTACAAAAATGTGTGAGGGGTGTACTCACTTCTGTGAGATACTGTGTGTATATATGCAGGATTTATATAGCGCCAACAGTTTGCGCAGCGCTTTACAATATAAGGAAGACATTACAATCACAAGACAATTCAAGACAAGAAGTTTAGGAGGGCCCTGCCCCTGAGGGCTTACAATCTAAAAGACTCTTCTGTACAGGGCCAGACCGGCCATAGGGAAAACCGGGCACTTGCCCGGTAGGCCGGGCCGAACACAATTAGCCTGATTGTGTTCGGGCTGGTCCGCTTTGCCCGATGGCCGACTATGAGCAGAGCCGGCACTACCACACAGTAGACACTAGAGGGCGCTGGTGGGGGAGGCCAGAAAAACACCTCCTCACCCAGCTCTCTCTACTCTTGTTCTGGCCGAGATATTTACATATAAACATTTTTGCATATCAATAAGCCATTACCCATTCATATGTAAATATCGCTGCTAATTCATATGCAAATCAATGACGCCGCCCCTCCCCCCGCCAAGGAAGAAAAAACTGCCTGAAGACTGCAAGAACAAGGTAAGTTTAAGCATGTGTATGGTGTATACGTTTGTTACATTGGCGCTCATTGTGAACACCGGGCACTTTCCCAGCATCTCCCCTCCCCCGCACCCTTCGGTGGCCAGCAGCTCCATGTAAACTCCTGCATACCGCATGTAATGGAATGTGATAGGATTACATGTGGTTAGAAAACACTCTCCCTGGATGCACAATCGATGCGTCCAGGGAGAGTGATTGATTCCTAACTGAATGTAAACATATCACATATCATTACATGCGGTGTGCAGGCTTTTACATGTAACTGCTGTCACCTGATCATTAAGTTAGGTGACAGCTGTCACTTGTAAATGCCAGATTAGGGATTTCTGCTGCAGTAAAACGCAAGTTTCTGATGCAGGAATCCCTAATCGCACCTAAATCTACAGATATGAATAGGGCCTTATTGTGAGTGTGTATTAGAGACCCTGCAGAGCCTACCAGAGATCCTTCACAGCCCACCTGAGACCCCGCAGAGCCCACCACAGACCCTGCAGAGCCTACCTGTGACCACAGCCGAGTGGGGTAAATTTAGTGTGGGGGGGGGGGGGGGGGGGGGGGTTTTCACTGCCACAATCCTCTCTGCAGCTCATCAGGAGTAAGGATGGGCTCAGGCGTGTTCGCAGCTCCACATGCCGAGCCCACCACGAAGCTGACAGCGTGCAGCGCCAATCACAGGCACTGAGACATTTCCTGATCTCTGCAGCTGCGGACTGGGAAAATGTGTCAGTACCAGGCGCTCGGCACCTGAAGCTGCGAACACGCATGAGCCCATCCTCAATCAGGAGGAGAAAAGCTCTATCGAAGTTCTATCGAAAGTTCTAACTTCTGAGATCTCTAATGACCTGACTTACTTAGAAGTAAGAAGTAAGAGGATTGGCCGAGAAGGCTGTACGCGGCACCCGCGGCATTTAAAAAATACACATACTACAGATTTTAATAAATATTAAAATGAACTAGGGTCAGACTAATCCAGGACATTATTAATTATATTTTATTAATTATTTATTATTTATTAATTATTAGGACATTATTAATCTAAATTGCCCCACTCAATATGGCCACCGCTTGCGCCCATATTGAGTGAGGCACTCAGATTAATAACATGCTGGACTAGTCTGGCCCCAGTTAATTTTAATACTTTATTGCTGTGTAGTATGTGTATAGCGAAATGCTGCAGGTGGCACATGTGCAGTAGAGCCTTCTCGGCCGAACCTCTTACTTCTAAGTAAGTCAGGTCGTTGGAGATCTTGAGGAGTTGGAGTTTTGACAGAACACTGGCTGCATTTCTGAAAGCCCGCTAAATAGTCGGGCTCCTCGGTGGGCACCTGCAACTTGTTGCTGAGTTAGAAGAAAATAGGTCACCAGCACTCCATAAGTTAAAATGAATGAGTCCTTTTAATGGACATTGATGTCACAGAAATCCAACATGAGCCGACGTTTCGGGGCCACACAGGGTCCCTTCTTCAAGGCAAGAGATGTGGATAGAAATTTCTGAATTGAGAAAGCTGGTTGGATGACTAGTGAAACGTCTTTAACCACTTGCCGTCCGCCCTAGCGTCGCCTATGGCCAATTTTGGGTATTATCGTTTTTTGAGGTTTCGCGCGCGCACGCAATTTTAAGGCTTGACATGTTTGGTGTCTTTTTACCCGACGTGACCCCGTCTTTTATATTTTACCAAAAAATTGGGTAATAATAAATGTAATTAATTACATATTAATTAATATGTAGCTAATTAATATAGGGGAAACAGGTTTTTTTAAAATTTCGGTAATTTTTCCTTAATATAGTAAAAAATAAAAACCCCAGTGGTGATTAAATACCACCAAAAGGCTCTATCTGTCCCTAAAAAATGGTATAAAATTAATTTCAGTACAGCGTTGCATGACGGAATAAATGTCATTCAAAGTACCGCAGCGCTGAATACTGAAAAATGGCCTGGATGGGAAGGGGGTTTAACACCGCGGATGTCAACTGGTTAAGTAAAATACAGCAAGTCCAGTTGCCTTGACTTATTTTTTACAGATATTCTCTATAGCAAGCTTCCTATATTGTTGCAAGGTTTGTGTATTGGATGTAGCAAGGCTTGTGTGTCAGCTGTAGCCCTCCGGTACTTACTAGTGGCCGGGCTGCCCCTCGATTGCGCTTCTTTGTTTGGCCCCGCCCCCTGTTGTGAGGGGTGGGGCCTGGCGGTGGTCCCAGTCCAGCCCTGCTTCTGTGTATTAATACCCGGAGCTCTCACCTGCACTTTCATCAGCCGGCTGGTGTAGGACTTGAAGTAAGACAGATACACTTTACTCATAGTCTCCACATACAGTACTTGTCCTTTTTATTACTTCATTGCTGTGCTGTATGTGTATATGCCAATGCCTTGGCTGACGCTCGAGCAGAACAAGTTTCTTGGGCAAACCTCTTAGTTGTAACAAAACCGTAAGTCAGGCGGTCGCAGAACTCGATAAGTTCTCAGTGTCGACAGATCACCGGCCCAAGAGGCTCCGTCGGCTAACGAAGGGAAGGGGGGAGGAGTCCGGTGAATTCACGGACATCGATGTCACTGGACTCCTCCAGTGACATGAGTCCGGTGGAGTCCGGTGACAGTATGTGACATGTGACAGTATGTGACATGGGGACCTTAGATTGTAGGCTTCTTGGACAAGCACTGATGTGAATGTGCAGTATGTAAAAGCACAGCGTCTCAGTATACCGCGAGCTGTAGCTCATGGTATCCTGAGCTTAGGGTGACGGGAGGACGCTAGTTTGTGTCCTCCCGTTACCCTTAGGAGAACTATGGGGGAAAACACTAACCCCATAGTTCTCCTTTAACAAACTGAGCCTGACATGAATGGGTTGAGCCTGACAATCTCTGCATTGGGACCATCAGAGATGCAATTAGACATGTGCGATGCGTTTTGGAAAAATTTGGACTCATTTTTGGAAATTCGTACATTCGAATGCATATGAATTTCTGAATAACAAAAATAACGAATGCAAACGATTACGAATTTCCGATAACAAAAGTCATGTTTTTTCACTTAGCTGTAACGAAAAGTCGTACATACTATCGCTAACGAAATTAGCGAAAATTTGGATTTCGTCTGATTTCCGAAACAAATTGACCTTTCGGCCCGAATCCTGAAAAATTTAATAACGCTAAATCCGATTGAACACAAAAAAATTTTTTTTGCCTGCGCACATGTCTAGATGCAATAGCCTGATTATATTTGTAGTCTGAATTCTGAACACATATTTTTCTTAACGTAACACTCTCTGTAACAGATCTCGATACAGGTTTTTATACAGCTGTCTAATGCCGAGCTTATCTTTTTGGCAGAGGGTAGATTCATAACAGAATGTAGGCGGCACCTCCTAAAGCACACTCAAGTTAACAGATAGCCTGGGTGGGTATTATTTACTGAGTGATAACTATACTGATTTCACACTGTAATATCGGCAAATTCTGACTAAGGTTGGATACTGCAAAGGTGTGAACAGGTAAAGGAACTAGAAATATTTAATATTCCTTAGCTATGCATGTTCAAGAAATGAGGACAGATTTGATATTTGTATGTATGTTAATGTTTTAGGAACCTTGTTACCATGTTCTGATATATACCTGTGTATATGTGTATATATGTATATTTCCTGGCACCTACATGGCAGCATAACTATGATTGAAGCTCTGCCCACCTTCAACCCCCAGGACCAGTAAGTCTATAAATTAAGTTACCTTACCCTGGGTCCCTTCTTTTCTCTTTTGTCCTCAAGACCTGAAGGATCAAGTTGATCTCTTACATAACCTTGACAAGGTTAGGCCACCCAGGTTGAGGCTCCCCTGGGTGAAGTTCGCACTCATGAGCTGATAAATGCGCCGGGTTCTAGTGCACACATGAGGGTCCTTGGGTGCAGCCTAATCTTTCACATGCACAGTGCAGCCTAATCTTTCGCCGGTTATCTTTCTTGCTGGCACTCAGTTTCCAGGATGGCCAGGGGTTTGGGGGAGGAGCTTTTTTTTATGATGCCCAATATTACTCAGAAGCTGCTAAGGACTCTGGGCAGCATAAAGAGGAAGTTATTGGTCTGATTAAGCAAGTAGTTCAAGACTCGCTTAAATAATTTTCTGCAAGTTGGGACAAGCACTGGCTTTGGGTACACCAGTGCCTTTTTCTGATCAGAATGCACTAGGACGTTTATCAGAAGAGGTGGAGGCACAGGAAGATTCATCACCAGCAGTTTTTTATTTTGGCCTAATAGAGCCTTTTGTGGCGACTGTCAAGCAAGCTATTCAGTGGGAGGAACAGGTAGATGCCCCAGGAAAAAAGGGTAAACATTTTCCCCAACTAAAAAAAGAAACGAGTAGGCTTTCTGCTTATTGAGGGGATCAAGGACCTGGTGCTGGAAGAATGGAAAAAGTGGATAAGCGTATGTCCTTTCAGAACAGGGTGTCCAAGCTCTACCCTCTTTTGAAGTCAGATGTGGCCTTATTTGATTCCTTCCCAACTGTAGATGCCTCAGTTATGAGATTAGCCAGGAACACTACTCTACCTTTGGAAGATGCAAGCTCCTTCTGTGATGTCTTAGATCAACGTATAGACCTTGACTTGAAGAAGTCTTACTTGGCTGCTGGGGCTGCCTGTAGGCCGATGGTGGCCTTAACTTCGGTGTCTAGAGCTATGAGGGTTTGGACAGAAAATTTGGAGTCAGCCTTGAAGAGAGGCATGTCACCAGAAGACATTATACCAACATTGGCTGAACTAAAGTTGTCCTCAGATTTTATGGCAGAGGCTTCAATTGATACCATTCGTTGTTCTGCTCAATCCATGTTGTATTCCATCACTGCAAAGAGGGCGTTGTGGCTTAAGCCTTGGGCAGCTGACCCAACCTCGAAGCAGACATGATGTTGCAATCCCTTTTATGGCAAAGCTCTCTCTGGGGAAAAATTGGATACAACAATCAGCAGACTCACAGGGGGTAAGAGTGGCCTTATACTTCAAGACAGGTACAGAATAATAAAGTTTTTCTCCAGAATCTCCTTTCCTCAGAGAAGCAAGGACATGAGGACTTACCAGCTGGGGAAGGAATTTAAACGTAATTGGAAAGGTTCCCAAGTGACCTTCCTGGATGGGCAACCCACTCAAATCTGCAGGGTAAGTGCTCATCTAGCAGCCTTCCAGTGGACTTGGGCGGAACACATCAGCTATCAGTGGATGCTCTCAACCGTCTCCGCCAGCCATTTTTGGATTTTCATAAATCGACCTCCAAGTTCTTTCCATGCAGTGACAAAAGTTACAAAGAGTTCTCAGAAGGCAAAACTCTACTAATGCAGGGTACAGTTGTTCCAGTACCTTGACCTAAAGAAATTAAATCGTTCAATTTACCTTCAAAATTTCAAGAAGGAATAATTGAATTCAGTTTTGGCAGTACAGCCAAAGCATCGGATGGTGTCAAAATACACCTACACATTCCCTTTCGAGCAGACTTTCAACAATTTCTCAGGTTTGGATAGAAGTTTGCGGAAGTGCACTTTCAAGTTCAGAGTCTGCCATTCGGCCTTTCAACCTCCCCTTGGACATTTACAAAGGTCCTCATAGCAGTCTTAGCTCCACTAAGACTTTGACGGTTTTTAATTTTGCATTATCTGGACGATATCCTTTTGTTAGCCCATAATAAAGACATGATTTTGGTACATCTGAGTATAGTGCTGAAACCTTTGACCGATTTTGGCTGGCTAGTGAACTGGACAAAGAGTCAGTTAGTCCCGACTCAAGAGATAGTGTATTTGGGCACATTATTCAACACGGTCAAGTGCACGGTTTCTCTGCCATCAGAAAAGAAACAAATTGTGAAGAGTCGGGTGGCCATGGGTCTAGCAAGCAGGTCCTTATCAGCCACTGAATGCCTCTGAATAATCAGAACCTTAGCCTCCTGCATTTCAATGGTACAGTGGGCAAAGTGGCAGTTGAGGCCTTTCCAGCTCAGTTTTGTCCGGCATTGGAGATCCTTATCTCTGACACAAGCTATAGTGATCAAGGAACAAATTAAGCAGAGCCTTTGGTGGTGGACTGGGGACTGCAATCTGTTAGGGGGTTGCGCAATGGGTCCCATCTCCTGGACCATTGTTACTTCAGATGCAAGTCATCTAGGTTGGAACGTGCATTCTGGGGAGACGATGGTCCAGGGCAGGTGGGGTTTCAGTGCCGAACACATAGTGTCCAACATTCTAGAGCTTTGAGCAGCCTGGATGGCTCTGAAAAATTTGGCTCTCCTGCACAAAGTGACTCCTATACCATCTTGTGCGGAGCTAAACCTGCTCAAGGCTGCATGCAGTCCAGGACTGAAAAATACACAGGCAGAACATCTCTCAAGGAATTTTGTCGACAGCAATCAATGGGCGCTATACGATCACCTATTCGAGTTTGTATGCAGGGAATGGGGGAAACCTCAGACAGACCTATTTGCATCTCCAGCGAATACGAGGCTTCCAAAATTCTTCTCCAGGTTCACATGCAAGAAGGCGCTTAGGATTGATGCTCTAACTCCATCATGGAACTTCAGCCTTGGATATGCGTACCCTCCAACGCCGCTACAGTTGAGATTTCTGCAGTGCCTAGTAAGGGAAGATGTAACAATACTGACAGTGATTCAGTATGTTTAGAATGCCTAAACATTTGTAATTGCAACAATTTTCTGCGAGAAGTGGTGCATTACCTGACATAAATGCAGGGGTGCCAATATTTTTGGCCATGACTGTATATTTATTTCTTTTAGTCCATTGAGGGACACAGGAAGTCATAAACCTCTGGATTATACTGCCACCTACAGGAGGATTTTTGTAGACCAGCCCTGGAATGACCGCCCTTACTACCAGCATGCCTCAGTTTAGTATCAAAGCAGTACCAAGAGCACGGTTACAAACACAGAGCAATGGAACCTGTTTCATTGAAAGAACTTCAAATAAAGGATTTTATGATGAGCACTAACATTCTGTTTCTTTATCTTTCATTAGGAGACACAGGATCAGTAGTTATTTAGTAGTTATTCTGATACCAAGCCTTCAGCAGGTTTTAAGACTAGCAAACAAAAAAAATCCCATTAATCCAGCCCCTGTATAACCCTGCCTCTAACAGTATTGGATGGAGTTTTTTTTTTCTAGTGTCCTAGGAGGTTGGATGGTTCTTCTTCAGCTCAGCGGAGGAAATCTATCAATATTTTTCCTCTTTTTCCTATTCTATTAACATTCTTGGTACTTCAAGTATGATTTTTATCTTTAATCAAGGGTTTTATTAAGCTGATTGGGCTGGTCTCTACATAGCAGCTTTTTAGTTTGACTAGTCCTTGGTGCTGCCTTGGAGGCCATAGTCGTGCCCTGTTAGACTGAAGATTGCAGGCCGGCCTGAAATTTGACTTTCGGGCACCGGGTTCTGCCAGTGGTGTATTTCAGACCTTAGTATCCTGTGTTAGCTGCAGAACGATTTTATGCATTAATACACCCTCTGGTGTAACCTATTCTCAGATGGCTCTCTGAGAAGTGAGACCACTAAAAGTTGCAGTTTATCAATAAGTTCTGCATTATGGCTTCTTCCAGACCTGTGTGTACTGTGTCAATTAGCCACAGAGCAGTCTTAGAGCAAGTGGTACAGCCACTGATGTAACCCAGTCTCTGTTTACTGCCTATGCAAGTATTTCTCTATAAAAACTGGCTACGTAGTCTGATATGCGGCATTTGAGCAATGAGCTCTGCATTATGGCATTTACAGTCCTGTGTATACTGTGTTAGTTACCCATGGAGCAGTGCCACAGCTACGGGGGTAACTCAGACAATTTACTTCCTGTGCAAGCATGCCTCTTTAACAAATTGTCTACATAGCCTGATATGGGTCATTTGAGCACTGAGCTCTGCATTATGGTGTTTACAGTCCTGTGTATACTGTGTAAAATAGCTGCAGAATGCTCTCTAGTTCAAACCGTGGTTTAGGTTCTGGCTATGTCTTCCAGGGTATGTAAGCCTTTAGATGTGGAGATAAAATTTAGAAGTAACTGGTAGGATGCCTTCATCCCTCGCTAGACATTATAGGGTCTATTCACAAAAGGGTGAAGAGTTTGGAGAAGGCAGGAGAAGTGAACAATCTAGGCCAAAATAGCTGATTTGGAACAATTATCCAATTCAGCTCACTTTCCAGTTTAGCTATGTTGTCCCAGATTGTTCACTTCTCCTGCCTTCTCCAAACGCTTCACCCTTTAGTGAATAGACCCCTATGTTTTGATAATTGAAAGTCCAGGGGTGAAGTGGGGAATCAGAGATTATAATCCACTCCACTGCTGTTTGTGTATGCAGTGATGAAGTCATACTACTAGTTCCTTGTAGAATTATCTTTGATACAAATATCAGTAGTTGGTGTATCTAATGGGGTTTAATGATAAACAGAAGTTTATCTTCATATATTGTGGTCTGGACTAATAGAAATTAAAATGTTGAGTATGTTTTATTATGATAATGTAAGTAGACAATACCTTATGTGTATCTATGTATTCATGAGTACCATTGTCCATTGTTGTGTATGATCTCTATTTATGCATCTAAAGGATTAACCTGTTGCATCAGGTAATGGGTCTACTGCCATAACAAAGACCTTCCCCAAATCCTCTGTTCTGAAACAGTGTCGGGTACTCCTAGAATGAGATCCTAATAGGTTGGACTTGATGGACTAATGTCTTTATTCAACCTCAAATACTATGTAACTATGTAACTATATGACTCTTTAAAAGACTGGAACTTCCTTTACAGTTATAGTTTCCTCTGGATTATTTCAAAAGGAATTTCTTCTCCCAACCCTTTCTCTCTATTCCTTCACTTTAATGGGCATCTTATCACTATAGTTGATGGAGCCTTTACTTTTAGGAACTTCACTGGTAAAAAGTTAGACTCTTTATTTAAATCCCAGTTTGAAGTAACTGAAACAACTCTCTGGCCTCTTCTGATAGCAAGTTTACTTTGTAATTCCATGTCTCATTGGATGACACCTTTTAAAAGGAACTTCTGTGACTCAGAGCAAAATCCCCAGTCCTTGCCATTTGCCAATCAGTTGTCTAAAGCTCTGAACCTTAGTTATTATGGCCCTTTACAGGAATTTTGAGTTGGTGGCTCACATGGCAGTAATGTCTGTCTATATGCGTAGAGCACTATGACATCTTGAAAAAGTCTGCATGTAAACGGGTGAAATGTGTCGGTGGTGGACCAACCTTACAGTTTTCTGTTGCTGCACCCTACAATCTCATACTATCACTGTAAGACTGGTTCTAGGACAGTTTGCATGTCAGAAGTATTGTGTGGGACACTGAGAGCTGGAGTTTAAGCAAATAAATACTTTTAATTAGCGGAGGACACTATTGGACAGTGAGATACCAGGTAGAATCCCCTCTTTTTTTAACAACACTCTGTAAACATCTGGGAACTGAGGGGACCAGTTGCTGGAGGTTTGGGAGAGGAATGACCCATTCTTGCCTGATATAGGATTCTAAATGCTCAACAGTCATGGGTCTTCTTTGTCGTACTTTTCGTTTCAAGATGCACCAAATATTTTCTTTTTTATGAAATACATTTTTATTGGATATTTTAAAAAAAGGGGATTTTACAGTACAAAGAAGATAAGTGGTATTATGATAGGAGAGCCAACATAAAATGTACAGTTATAGGCAATACAGATTATGACAAAGACATATCATGGGCCTTGAAGAAAAAAAATTTCTATCATTGTCAAAGGCATCAACGTTTACAATCATCAAGACGTCCCCTAGAATCCTTAGATTCAAGAAACATTAGTGCAGCGGTTCTCAACGTGTCGGTGGGTGACCCCGTCGGGGGTCGATTGGCGATTTGCCAGGGGTCGCCCAGGAGTCTGCCGCTATTAGATGGCGGCTCCCGGCCGCCCGGGAGAGAAACACTTTCTTACGGAAAGATTTACTTTACTCGATCGAGCAGAGTAAACCTTTCCCTGCGATCGTTTTATTTTGGGGGTTTTCTGACAAAAAAAAAAAAAACACCATAGGAATGCATAGCTAGATTCCTATTGCCTATTTCACTTTGCAATAGCCATTAGCAAACTAGCTATTGCACCCGCCCTCTGCTGTTGCCAATCAGCAGAGGGGGACCTCCATCATGTCCTCTTCTAGTGATTGACCGCAGCAGAGGGCGGATGCAATAGCTAGTTTGCTATTAGCTATTGCAAAGTGAAATAGGCAATAGGAATCTAGCTATGCATTCCTATGGTGTTCTTTTTTTTTCTGACGGCGTACGCCAGTGGTTCTCAACCTGTGGGTCGCTGTGTGATTTCTGCTGTGGTAGGTGAGAGTCCTCCTCAGCCCTCTCCTAGTGCAGCAGCGTCTGTTCTCCCGCCACGCCACCAGATGTCGCTGCAGCAGCCGCGTCATCCCTGAATTTTACCGTTGGGGGTCACCACAACATGGCAAATGTTACCTAGGGGTCCCGGCCCTAGAAAGGTTGAGAACCACTGCATTAGTGTGTACCTCTTAATGTTCACATAGAAATATAGAGGAGTAGAGAACGTTTTGTATAATTGAAAAATAATAAAAAAGTAAGGATGTGCTTATTTATCGCTTTTCAATTTCAGAAGGACGTAAGAATCGCATTGACAGATGATGGTGTCTAAACTCACTCGCATGCTACAAACTTGGTTTAAATATAACCTTTCTTGGATAGGCGGATAGAGGCTGCAAAAATGACATTTACCTAAGCTGTTGTATTTTTTCTGTGTACTCCCGGTCGCAGTCCCAATCTCAGCATTTTGGTCTCTCCAAACACAGGTCTGAAAAAAATAAGCATTGTCTGATCGTACAATAACTCATTTTTGGAAATTCCAAACGCCTGGTGGGGTAAAACCATTCTCACACCTCTAAGACCAATACCATCTTCCTCAAAAAGAGATCTTTCATTATCTGCAAATTAAAGCATATATTTCCTCCCCTGATATCATGACTTATATAAAGCTAGAAACTGTCCTTAATAAAAGGAAACAGTCTGTGGTGGTAGCGACACGTTCAGAGGCACAGATTTGGATTCATTAACACAGAGGCCCGAAAGAGATGCAAAATCAGACAACATTTTGGTGAGATTGGGTAAGGAGACAATAGGGTTAGATATCATTAAAAGTGCTTCATCAGAAGAGAGACTGATTTTATGAGTTTCACTAGCATGTCATAAACCGGACACATTGGGAGAAATACGA